GTCTACTCCAGGGCATTTTCAAGTGGTAGTACTTGCTGCTCCACATTAAGATGGTCCGAGGTTCTCACAGCCATGGAGTCGGTGCCGACTCAGTGACCTCACAGGGCAGGGAGAACTGCCCGTTACAGGAAGAGGACACCCTGTCCTCCTCCTGAGGACTGGCGGGTGGTTTTGAACTGCTGTCCATACCCACGACATCTCCAGGGTTTCTATCCGTCTCCACTGGGAAGACAAAACCAAATAAACCAATTTTTTTCAAAAGCCCAACAATGAGCGAAGGCTGACCCTAATTTTTTATGGGTGCCCCTGCTCTGGACATGCTATTGGGAGCAACAGGCACTGGGAAAGGACATCACACTTGATAAAGTAGGGGCAGCAAGTGGGCTGGGCTGACCGTGGCTGCAACAACAGGCTCAGGCATAACCACTGGGAGGATGGCGCAGGGCTGGGCTGGGCAGGTGTGGATAAAGGCAGGCCCCAGGGGTCCTGGGGGCGTCTGGAAGCACAGGTTCTGAATTCTGAGGGGGCCATGGCTTTTGTCAGCCCCACACCTGCCACAAGCTGCAGAGGAGCAGCAGGACTGACCAGCCATGGCTCGTTAGTGTGGCCAGGTCCCGGGGACATGCCACACCAGCATGCTACCGCATAGCAGAAGCAGGTGGTCAGAATCCTGGGAAGACCCCTGTAAAGGGGGATGTGCTCAATGTGGCCAACCAAGCCCAGGATCCTTCTGAGAACAATCTCACGCCTTCTCAGCTTGCTCTCTCTTCAAAAGGTGGGGCCAGAAGATTGTAAGACTTTGCGGAATCAGAACGCACCGTGTATTAAAGATGCACCAAGAAGCCTCAGAGTGATGTGCAAGCCCACCAGCAGCGTCTGTCTAGAAGCACTGCCTGATGACTTTGTCAATTACAAATTCAATTGCTTAATCAGGGTCTGGCATGTCACCTGTAGCTGCCCGCCGGGCCTTGGTGGTCATGGCGTTTCGACTGCCTTCAGAGGTGGGGAGGAAGCTGGGCCTGCCTGGGACATTGGGACTAGGCAACCAGGTCCCTCCAAGGCGGGTTTTCAGGCCTGAGTGCTTAGTGCCCACGGGTCTTACTGACAACCCCCCTGGCCCAGGTTCCAAAAATGCACACTGAGGTACTTTCAGGGGAGCTTGGGCTGCCATCGGCAAGGCCAGCAGTTCTAAACCATCTACTGCTCCGCGAGAGAAAGACCAGGCTTTCTGCTCCCATGGGGCCGCCCTCCCCTGCCCCACAGGGTCGCTCTGAGTCGGGGCTGACTCGCGGCCGGACTGGTCCGCAGGTTGGTGCCCGAGGGGACAATGAAGGCAAGGCCTGGAGGAGCCCGCCGTCCGAGTCCGTGCGGCCCAGGGCTGGTGTCTGCACCACAGAGTGCCAGGGTGGCTGTGCTGGAGCCCCAGGCTCCTCGTGGGCACTGTCTCCATCTGCCTCTCACCCCCGGGCACCACAGTCCAGAGAGCCCCGTTGTGTGCCCAGCTAAGGACACAGGCGTGGCTGCCTGGCCTGTTGTCCTGCCTACCCCACTGCCCATCCCTTACCCGGCTTCCTCACAAATCCCTGGACGCCCCACCTCGCCTGGCCCCCGCTTTCTCACTTCTGCGGTTTAGAGGCTGCCTACAGTCCCGAATCTCTGGAGCCAGGCGTCCCCAGATGGACTGGCGAGACTGGTCCCCACGGAGCAGCTGTATCAGATCCCTCCTTGCTGGTCACCCCTGCCTGGCGTGGGCCACTCTGCTCCCAGCATGCTGTGCAGCTGGCCCCGACTCCCTGCTCACAGCCCCTCTGGGAACTGTGCTGTCAAGGCTTTCTAAGTGAGCCTGGGCTCCTCAGAGAAAAGGCTTGCTTATTCCTCTGAGCCCCGCATTTAAACGACACACATTCTTAACTACACCCCACTGTGGGTGATGTTTAAAATGCCGAAATGCCTGCCTCTACCACCTCGTAAGGAGCCTGTCTGGCTCCGTGGTTGATGAGAGGCAGTTTGCACCCACGAGCTGCCGGATAGGAGGAGGAGGGAGCACCTCTTCCCGAGAAGACTGCGCGCTGCCTTGGACCGCGGTTGCTACGAGATGGCATTCACCGCATAGCAACTGAGGGACAGGGACTTCTCAGAGTACCAGGGGCATCTTTTTGTAAGAAGGGAGGGGCAAGCCTGGAAATGCTCAGCTATGGTAAATTTCCCACCTGCTTTGATAAAGAAAATGAGGCAACTTCAAAATTCTGAATTTTAAGGCACACAAGACTTCTTGGGGGCCTCTGCACCCTTTCTCCCTTGCCTCTTCTTAAGTCAGACAGGCAAGAGATTTGCAGATTTGCCCAAAGAGAAGCCAAGACCAAACGCGGTAGACGTAAAACAAAAACGAACACACCAAGCCCTCGCTACCACTGAGTCTGCTCCGTCTCATGTAACCCTGCAGGGCAGGGCAGAGAGCCTGCCTTCTCCCGAGGAGAGGCTGGTGGTTGTGGACTGCTGCCTTGCGCACCCAGGGTGCCACCGAGCGCCTTCAGGAAGAGCACGGGAGCCTGTTGTGGGTGAGAAGGCAGAACGCGGAATTTGGCTAGAGGGCTCTGTCTCCGGGGCTGGTCTGGATCACAGCAGATGCACCACCGGGCTGAGAAATCAGCCAGAAGGGCCCTGGAACGAAAGCCACGGCGACTCATTTCGTGATACCTCGCGAAGTTGGAAGAGTCAGGCAACACCTTAATCCAAGCCAGTTGTCTGAGTGGGTTGTTTGGGAGGTCACTCATCATGCACTGAAGTACTTTTGGGTAGTTTTCCTACATTTAGAACTAGGTTGTTTTACATCGTTTTCTCCTGGGAACGGTCACAAAATCTGATGGCAAAAGAGCGCCGTGCTGCAGACAAATCTCCGTAATTGTTCTTGTTTCGGTGGAAAGCAAACTCCGAGTGTCCATCAGAACACCCACCAGAGGCATGCGGGAGGGCCGGGGTCTGGGGGCGGGTCAGACTCCGTTCTCTTGCCAGTGGCTCACCCACCATCGAACCAAGCCCACGTTCATCTCTAGCACGGACATCTTGATGCAAGGGGAGGAACGGACACTTCAGTTTCTTGTGTCTAACTTCCCCCTAGAAAGAGGCAAAGGAGCCCTGATGGCACAGTGGATGATGCGTTGGGCTGCTAACTGCACGGTCAGGAGTTCAAAACCACCAGCCTGCTCTGCAGGAAGATGAGGCTTATTGGAAGCCAGTGAAGACGTACAGTTTCAGAAACCCACAGGGTGGCGCTGCGAGTCGGGAACGACTTGAAGATAAAGCAGCGAGTGCTGACGAAGGTGAAGGATGCGGTGATCACATGGCACACACACCAGGCCGGGTGCAGCACACACACCAGGCCGGGTGCAACACACAGCATGCAGCCGCGTCCAGGACACACTGTGAGCAGTGAACCCACCTTGGTGTGAGAATGCACAGCTGCAGGTGAGAACATTTGGGACCTGTGGGCTCTCTTTAGACTGTGGAGTTCTTATTCAACGTTGACCCTCCCATAGTACACATATGCACAGTAAGAAATGACCATACATAAGAGGGTTTTTTTCCTTCAAAGTTAGAATGGCGTATCAAAAAGGTCTCAACAATACTGAGACCGTCTTTGTCAGCAAAGCGCGCACAGCAGCACCGTCTACTCCCATGGGCCTGGTGTTGCCTAACTACCAGATCGACTGTAAGTAGGTTACAGGGCACAGGGCATTTCCACGGCTCCCAGGATTTCTGTGTGATCTGGGAAGCCTGCCCTCCCTCCCGCTGGCCAGCAAGCTCCCCTCTCCTCTCAGCTCTCCCCCTTCGGATGGTCCTGGGGCTCTCCTGAGATCCTTGCTGGCCAAGCTGAACCACGTGTCATGTGGCCCAAGTCAGGATCCACAGCTGGCTTGTACAAAGTGCGACTCACCTTGCCACCCACAGGGGCCAGTGGGCAACTCTGCCCAGCAGACGTGTGCCGGTCAAGACTCCTGTGCTTAGACCCCAACAGAAACCAAACTCACTGCCATCGCTCGAGCCCCTGCCCACACCCAGCGGCCCTACAGGACAGGGTGGAGCAGCCCCTGTGTCCTGAGGCTGTCGCCATTTATGGGGGCAGAGAGGCCCGTCTTGCGCCCTCTGGTGTGTACACACACACACACACACACACACACACAGCTCGCAGCGCCCTACCTCTCTTCCACGGAGGCTTCTTTCAGCTGCTGGTGCGGCTTGGTACCCTGCATCTCCCTGATGCTCACAGCGTAGATCTTGGTGGTGTAATCTATGGCCTTCTCACGGGCGACATCGCTGTCGTAGCCTGCAACCAGAGCGGTCACAGTGGGCGAGTTTGAAGTGGCCGCCCGGGGAGGCAGGGGTGGGTGCAGGCGGGGCTCACCTCCGTCCTCCTCAGCGTCCGTGTCTGACTCCTCGCTGTCCACCAGCTTGCTCTCCTGGGTCCCCACAAACTCCCGGGTCCAGGTCATCAGGGCCGTGTCCGCCCCGCCGACCGTGAGCAGCACCGAGTCGTTGTGCAGCCACCTGACGTTGGTCACATGCGCGCTGTGCCCCACGTACTTCTTGAACCGGGCGTGCTGGCCCTGCAACACAACCGGGACCTGATTCCTCAGGGGCTCCTCCTGGGGACCGGCTAACGGAACACACGTCTTAGGGGAGCACGCCTGGGTGTCTTTGGTCTAAAACTGTGCTTGACCCTGGCTAATTGGTCCTCTGTAAAGGAAAGTCCTCAGTACACAGGTGTTTTAAAGTGTGCGTCCATGTTAGACAACAGGACCTTTCCAGGGACCTCAGTCAGTGTAAGGAGTCCCTGCGTGACACACACAGTCAACAGCTGGACTGGGAATTGAAGGCTGGCTATCCAAACCCGCCCGACAGCGCCTGGGAAGGAGGTCAGGGAACCTGGTTCCTAAGGCCAGCCTCTGAGCCAACTGTCCCCTGCATGCGTGGGCCCCCGTGAGACAGTCCTAACCACACACATGGGAGGCAGCTGTCCACCGCACGCGTGGGTCCCCGTGAGACAGTCCCAACCACACCCGTGGGAGGCAGCTGTCCACCGCACGCGTGGGTCCCCGTGAGACAG